AAATAACAAACTCAAATTGCTAACCTAACATAAAGGGAATCCGTAAATAACAAACTCAAATTGCTAACCTAACATAAAGGGAATCCGCAAATAACAAACTCAAATTGCTAACCTAACATAAAGGGAATCCGTAAATAACAAATTGGTAAATTGGATTAGTAATTAATATTTGTTATAAACGGATTCTCTTCATTTGGTATTATCATTAGTAATGAAATTATGATTTAAAATTGCANGTTTTCAGTTTTTTTAACATGTGGTCATTGTTTTTCTCACATTTTGGCAATTGTTTTAATTATCGAATTTACAATGAATTGTTCCAAGAGGATATTCTAATGGCAAGTTCAGTTTTTTATAAATATAAAATGTTAATTCTCGTATCCAATTTATCTAAAATCAATAATCATGAATTGCGGGATAAATCAATATGATTACCCTCATGTTGTGCTAAATCGTTCAAGTTTTTTTCGAGATCATTTTTATGTTGGTGATTTGTCTCATTGTGCTATTCAAGAATAGTTGGACCATGTTTACCAAAGTGTGTGAGAATTTAATCAGGATAGGTCAGGTCAAGTTAGGAACATGGTTGAGTTATTTCCTATTGAATTAGCACAATGATGCATATTGCTGACATGAGAATGATCACTGATGTTGAACGATTCAAATTATTGATTTTGATACGAGTAATTTTTTAACTGGTTTCACCATAAATTAATTTTTCTATCATTTCACAGCAATGGTATCGGATTTACGAAACTGGAACCTTGATGATCAAGCCAAAATTCTTAAGAAATGAAAAATTATAAAAAGTTGGGCTGATATTGGTCATTGATGGTCAATATCATGAATTTTCAATGGTCATTGGAGATANCATGTTGTGCTAAATCGTTCAAGTTTTTTTCGAGATCATTTTTATGTTGGTGATTTGTCTCATTGTGCTATTCAAGAATAGTTGGACCATGTTTACCAAAGTGTGTGAGAATTTAATCAGGATAGGTCAGGTCAAGTTAGGAACATGGTTGAGTTATTTCCTATTGAATTAGCACAATGATGCATATTGCTGACATGAGAATGATCACTGATGTTGAACGATTCAAATTATTGATTTTGATACGAGTAATTTTTTAACTGGTTTCACCATAAATTAATTTTTCTATCATTTCACANTGATTACCCTCATGTTGTGCTAAATCGTTCAAGTTTTTTTCGAGATCATTTTTATGTTGGTGATTTGTCTCATTGTGCTATTCAAGAATAGTTGGACCATGTTTACCAAAGTGTGTGAGAATTTAATCAGGATAGGTCAGGTCAAGTTAGGAACATGGTTGAGTTATTTCCTATTGAATTAGCACAATGATGCATATTGCTGACATGAGAATGATCACTGATGTTGAACGATTCAAATTATTGATTTTGATACGAGTAATTTTTTAACTGGTTTCACCATAAATTAATTTTTCTATCATTTCACAGCAATGGTATCGGATTTACGAAACTGGAACCTTGATGATCAAGCCAAAATTCTTAAGAAATGAAAAATTATAAAAAGTTGGGCTGATATTGGTCATTGATGGTCAATATCATGAATTTTCAATGGTCATTGGAGATACTGATGTGAAATGGTGGATGGTTTCGCCAA